TACTAATATATTTGGCTTCCAAAAAGTCCCAATCCACCCCTCGAATGGATGAATAACTGACTGGCACCCCCAAATATTTCATCGGGAAGTGGCCAATCTGACAGTTGAAAATATCAGCATAAGTTTGCAGGATATTATCATCCCCTCCAACACAGAGAATCTCACTCTTCTGGAAGTTTATTTTCAAACCCGACATGAGTTCGAACATATAAAGAAGGAGCTTCAGATTCACAGCTTTACCAGGGTCGTGCTCAATACAAAGGACTGTATCATCTGCATATTGCAGAATTGCTACCCCATTCTCGACCAGGTCCGCGGCCAACCCAACAAAGAGATTATTTTTTTGTGCTTGCAGCACCATTTTACATAAGCACTCAGCAGCAATATTAAACAGGAACGGGGAAACAGGATCTCCTTGTCTGACCCCTTTATGGCTTTGGAAGTATGGACCCATTATATTGTTTAACTTGACACAAACTGTACCATTATGCAGGATCTTTCTCATCCACTCACACCAAGTCTTCCCAAAGCCTCTATCCTCGAGACACTTCAAAAGGAAGTCCCAGTTAACCTTGTCATATGCTTTCTCAAAATCGAGCTTAATGACAATACCACATTTTTTCTTAACATAGGTATGATGAAGAACCTCGTGCAAAGATAGAACCCCATCCATAATGTTCCTGCCTTTGGTAAAGGCATTTTGATGTTTGCTAAACAAAACATCAGCGAAAAGGGCCACTCTATTGTCTAGAACTTTTGTAATCAGTTTATAAGGGCATCTCAACAGACATATTGGCCTGAATTGTTGAATCTTATCTGCTCCAGAAATCTTAGGAAGAAGGGTAATGATGCCATAGTTCAACCTATAAACATCCAGCCTCCCCTCATGAAAAGCATGAAACAGACTCATGATGTCATTCTTTACTATCTCCCAGCAATGTTGGTAAAACTCGGCCGGAATGCTATCCGAACCAGGAGCCCTATTACTATTCATAGAAAATAGAGCTTTTTTCACTTCCTCTTCAGAGAAAGGTCTAGTTAGCATCATATTATCATCCTCACTAATCCTCTCTCCTTCATCCCAAACCTCAGGGTCCATTTGGAATAAATTTCCAGGGGCAGGCCCAAATAACTCTTTGTAAAATTCAGTTGCATGTTTAAGAAGGTTCTCAGTTCCTTCAATGACCTGATCACCAACCTTCAAAGAGTGAATGGTGTTTTTCCTCTTATTGCCACTAGCAATCTTCTGATAGTAAGCTGTGTTACTATCTCCTTTAAGCAACCATCTCTCCTTAGATTGTTGCAGTAGGTATAGTTCCTCATTAACAAGGATTTCATTGAGCTCCACCAACAGACTTTGCTTTTTACACATCAACTCAGGGTTGAGATTGTCATTTTCTTCCAACTCCTCAATCTTCTCCAATTCTTCCTTGATACTATTCTTCCTAATTCTCTCATTCCCAAACTTATTAGACCCCCATCATTTAAAGAATTTTTTTAGCCTCTTCAACTTGATGTTCAAGACATCAATAGGGTCAGTTGCCTCGACATTCTTAGTCCAGATCTTATCAACCAAAGGAAGGAACTCCTCAGACTTGAGCCAGCTCAACTCGAACCTAAACTCTCTTGTGTGTGGGACTCGTACAATATTATTGTCCGAGGACACCAAGAGAGCATTATGGTCTGAGATATCTCTAACCAACTTTCTATCATTAACAAGAGGGAACATATTCTCCCAATCATTACTCATCAACACGCGATCTAACTTTTCTAGGGTCAGGTGTGCTTGATTGTTAGTCCATGTGTACATACCCCCATGCATATGGATCTCGCTCAAGCACATAGAGTTAATCACTGAATTGAACATGTCAGTATAAGTGGAGTGGTGCCAGTTCTGGTTTTTCTCTCCACAATGTCTGAGAATATTGAAATCCCCTCCAATAAGGAAAGGGGTTTGAATGTGACTACAGAAATCTGCTAACTCCACTAAGAAATCATTTTTGTCACATTCATGGGCAGCACCATACACTGTACACAGTGTCCAAACTTTCTGGATTTTGACATCAAAGAAACATACTTGAAGAATGAATCTCCCTTTTCTCCAAGAAATAATTTCAAACCTCTCCTTTTTCATTCCACAAAGGATGCCTCCTGATTTCCCAATGGCTGGGATCCAATCCCATTCAAACATACTATGAGGATCTATCTTTCTGAAGTAACTATCCATTTTTTTTTTCTTATGGGTCTCTTGCAGGCAAACAAAGTCAAGGGAATGATCTCTGATCATATGGGATAGGCAGGAACTCATCCCCTTTTTTCCTGCCCCCTACAATTCCAAAAAATACCTATCATTTAATATGACTCCCCCCCCCCTCTCTGGTGGCCCTGTGATGATGGACAGGACTGCCAGTTTTGGCCTTATCTTTTCCTATAGCAGGTTTTTGGCTCCTGGTCACAGGTCTAGATATATCTATCTTAACTTTGGGACTTTTCTTTTTCCTGGATTTCACAAGAATAAAATTGGTCTCAAGATCATCCCCCTCTTCTCCCCATTCAGTACAAAAAGGGGTTTGATCACCCTTCCCATTAGTGATGTACATCACACACACCCCTTCCTGATTATCAAAGGAGGGAGCCTGTACATCATTATTATTCCCTTCACTTTCTCTAATTCTCTAAGAATATCCACACTAGAGAAATTAGAATCAGGAATAATCACTCCCATATTAGATGCCCTAAGCATAAGGTCATGATTTGTAAGCACATCAAAAGAATTGTGGCATGAGGAAGTACCTTCAAGGTTTCTCTTCTTAGATAAAACCACAGGATTATCCTGTATTTTGCCAGCCATGTTCTGCAAGTTCCTCATGCTGAATCTAATCACATCTTCAGATATAAGTGGAGGAGTAGGTATCACCTCCCCCATATCATCAGGTGAGGCAGGATACTGTACCATATACTCCACTTTTTCCTGCATCTTGTCTTCCAGATCACCCTCAATCTCTTCCACCTGGACACATGAGTTGTCCTTCTTTGCATGAGGTACTTTTTCACTGGGGATATCAACAACAGGATTAGATGAAACAACATTGCATACCTGGATCTCATCAGCAGATGTCCTATTGTTATTAACAACCAGGAGTGCCTGAGATCTCAATTCCCCTTCCTTGTTACAAGCCTCAATAGCAATAGTCTCAATAAGTAGAGTGTTATCCTCCTCTGACTTATCTGATTCCTCATGTTCTCTCTCAACAGAGTCTGTAGGAGCAGATTTTCCAGGCAAGTTACATTTGCTGGACTCCCAACCTCTCTCCTTTTCTGAAGTATTGGGGGTAGCTCTACTTGGAGTTTGTTTCCACATAGGCATGTTCTTTTTGGCAGAATCCACTTGAGATGTGCCAGTCTGTCTTTCAGGGTCACGAACCAAGACCTTTTCTATCTCATAAAAGAAATCAAAAAAGTGCGTTCCAAGCACAGCTTCTGCCACCTCAGGAAGTTCATCAACATTGCGACATCCAAGCCGGACCCGTACATATTCAGGTTTATGTAGGGTGGCCATGTCGATCTCCAAAGGAACACCAACCAATGAGGAAACATATGCCAAGTTTCTCTCATTTCTTCTCTCCAGAGGAACATTAATCACTTTAACCCAAGCAGTTTCCATCACACCCTTGGCCCCAATATTGGCTGTCCATGGGACAATTTTCACTACCACACCACAAGATCTAAGAGTCATTCTGTCATTGTAGCACGCTTTCTTAACGTCTCTCTGATTCGGAAAGCGCATCACATAGGTTTGGGGACCAATAGGACGAGCAGTACAGTGCCATTTAGTTCCTATGTAATCAGAAAAAGCATCTTCTAACTCCTTAACAGTAGCACTTCCTTCAATCACAGTAATGACCACACTCGTAGCTCTTTCTTTGAGCTGTTTAGTTGTGCACGAATCAGGAATGTAAAAGAAGCCCTGCCCTTTGGCTTGGAAAGCACACATGGGTGCCACACATTCCCAAGGTAAAAAAGCAGTGCAAACAGAAGCTAAGTGACCCATCTTACTGCACCTCTCACAGAATGCTTGCGGACAACTATGCTGTATTGAATTCCTAGTTTTCACCTCTTTTTCATCCAATTTCAGTGTAAAAAGGTTTCCAGGCTGCGGAGGTACGTGGCGCACACCTGCGTGCCCCTGCCAATTTTCGGCATAAAATGCATATGCTCCGCGCGCGCTGGTTTGTCCCGCTGTGGTTTGCGCTTTGCACCTGCGCCTTGTTTGTTGGTTTGGCACGATCGTAACCAGACGAAATCCTTGATTAAGTATGAGTTTTCTAAATGTCCTACCTAGTACAACGATGACACACATCATGTATGCATACTGGCGTGGCATAGATTAATCATGAGTTTGCACCTGCGCTGGCTTTCAGTCACCCACGACGACCACACACATGCACGCATCACGACCGCTCGCTGGCCAGCCAGATGGAGCCACGCCCACAGGGATGGGCCAAGATGGATGGTAGAGCGTCACAGAGGTCGGCAGATTTATACTATACATAGTAGTACAATATATACACCCCCTCCATGGTTTCCTTTTGGTCTGGTTGCATATGCGCTAGGCAGTACGTATGCATGATTAGTACGTTAGTAAGGAAAACTGAATCTTCAATCAGCGAGTATTATTAGTGCCATGGTCCATGAGCAGCCGGGCCAGGAGCACCCACGGTTTCGCGTTTGCTTACGTGTATACACAGTGGAATTGAGGGGGACACGAATTGTTTTGTTTCTGGAGTCATCCGTGATTTGACCATTGATTAACGTAGCAGCCTGGGCTAGCTAAGCTAAGCGAGGACGAACATAAATCGTTCTCCTGCCTGTGCACGGCGCAGGTATATATAGGGAGCGAGAGGGGAAAAGGCCGGGAGAGTAGAGGAAGGACCAAGGACGGAGGAAGAAGCCCCTATCCGTCGAGGTCGAGGGGAGAGAGGGAAAGGCCGGTTGATTCGATGGACAGCAGCTTCGGCCGCCGGAGCAACAGCCATGGCGGCGTGGACGGCGAGTGGCGGCGCTGGGCGGTGCTGGTGGCGACGGTGTGGGTGCAGGCGCTGACGGGGACCAACTTCGACTTCTCGGCCTACTCGTCGGCGCTCAAGGCCTCCATGGGCGTCTCCCAGCAGTCCCTCAACTACCTGGCCACCGCCTCCGACCTCGGCAAGGCGTTCGGCTGGTCCTCGGGGCTGGCGCTGCTCTACATGCCGCTGCCGGCGGTGCTGCTCCTGTCCGCCGTGCTCGGCCTCGCCTCCTACGCCCTCCAGTACGGCATCCTCCTCCCCTCCTCCACGCTCGCCGCCAGCCTCCCCTACCCCGCGGTTCGTCCTCTCCCCATCTCCGGCGGTCCGGCCGACCATGCATCTCATCTCCATGCCCATTGATTTTTTTTCATGCATGTAGCTATCTTGTTGATTAAGTGAACACCATACGCTGTCACAAAAGTTACACGTAGCCATCATCCATTGGAGAACCGATCCCCGGTGCTGCTGCCGTCGCTAGCAGCACATCTATGGCAAAGGCATCCATCGTAGTACTACATGATGCATGATGTACGCACCCGGCCGTCGCCGTCGGCCACCCACGGCCACACACGCGAGGCGGAAGGATGTAGAGGGAAAGGCTGGAGCCAAGGGAGTGGCTGCCGTCGACCATCGTCCGGGGCCGCAGGTTTATTTTGAGGACCTACAGCTGCCACCCTCGCCTGCCAGCCTCAAATGGCTTCCCGGCCGGCCATTCTCGCTTATTTGTCCCATGTGATTGTGTGGCTGGTAACTGAATTACTCCCACTTCACTCGTCTGCAAGTCTGCAACTGCAAGCAACTTGTACTGAGCTTACTCTTTGGAGTATACTGCCTGCCCTTTGACTTTGTGGCTGAGATGTGGGCCGGCGTGCTAGACAGCCAAGGTTAGAGGGCGATGTAGGTGACAGGAATCGTTGACATTCTAGACTAGCTACCTAGATTATGCCAAGTAGTAATTTTAATACTCCCTGTTAACCAACTCGGCGTCCAGGGCGGCATCAATCATGCGTGACTCACTGAACCACCAGGATGCTGCTGCCCTTCTTTGTTTACCCAAAAGACTAGTATAGCAACCGTGAATTATTACGGAACCCAAAAAGAAAGATAATCAGTACTCCCTCCGTAAACTAATATAAGAGCGTTTAAAATACTAAAGTAGTGATCTAAACGTTTTTATATTAGTTTACAGAGGGAATAGTATATAACAGCCAATGCACGTGGAACACCCAATAGAAGAAACTCAATTTTATTGCAAGATATGTTTTCTTTAATTGAAGGGGTTTGGTTGGTTCTAGATGGACGAGGGAGATTGGGATGAACCGGTGAAGTGGGGGAGGAAACTCACCACCACCAACGACAGTTATAATGCATGTGCAATGGTAGTACCATTTATCAGTTTTGCCAAGACATATTTAGATGTGTCATAAGTATTGCACATCTAAATTCTACGTTATTGATCTTACGTGAAGATTCATGTGAGTGTTTTCTTTATTTTATTTTTTATGTTTAATTAAGTCACTTAGATGTGCAATAACTAGAGCACATCTAGACCCATAATTTATATAAAACAAAAATAAATAGAGAGGAAGAAAACGATGGATAAAACAGAAAGAAAAGGTTATGGCATCCATGCATGCCAAGTCGTCATGCCCATCCTGCCTCCATCTTTTTCGTCCAACTTAACTTCATGCTTGTCTCCTCTTCTCTTCCAACCTACCAGCACGCACACCTGCCATTCTTCTACACCACGCCCTCATCTTACAAAATACTCCCTCAGTCTCTAAATATTTGTCTTTTTAGATATTTCAACAAGTGAATGTATACGAAGCAAAATAAATAAATCTACACTTTAAAATATATCTACATACACCCGTATATGATAGTCAATTTGAAATGTCTAAAAGACAAATATTTAGGAACGGAGAAAGTATATGACGTACTATTCCCGAAAATGCATGAGTGCAAATGGTGCCACGCTAGGATAGTATCATCCCCGGCCATTGCCACGTGATTCGTGCAGTTTGTGTACAAGGGCCGCACATATCAATTTATCCACACCACATCAACGTTACTAATATATTTCCTGTATTGATTATGCTGACCAAAGCATTAAAACAAAACATTGAATAGCACTTGTCAATCCATGTGAACTAACGATAGGAGGCAGCATATTTAAAACGCGTGCCCCGCGCGCAAAGCCAACTACCAGAAGCTCCTTCAGGCTGCCCCCATACGTTTGATGGGCTGCAAATTTTGTTGCAAAAATGGTTGGCAGGATATCAAGGCTTCCAACATCTTTTAAGTGCAACATGCAGACCATCCCTTATCCAGCCCACAACTCCTCTCTCATCCATCCTGCTTCTTTAGTTCTTGCGCTTTGTTTATGTGCATAGCTAGCTAGAACTCAGCTCACCTGCTCCTCCAACACCAGTACTTTATGTTTCATGTCCCAGGTTCGTTTATGAAAGGGATTATCACGCTCAAGCAAAGCAGGAAAAAATGATGCCTAGTCCATTAATTTGCCAAATTAACCAACGGTATCATTTGGTAAATTCGCTCTAGTATCAAGTGCTAATCTCATAGCACAGATGGACTGCCCAGATTCCATCCTCTTGTGGCACCATGTCTGCAAAAGTTCACGTCCGTACCACTATCTCGATTCTCAATATGTAAAGTGTGCTATTTTATTTCGTTAGACGAAGATTTGACAAACAATTTATTGGTGTGTGACATGGTTGGTGTCACTAGATTAGTTATCCAAAAGTATTTACTTATACTACTTGTTGAATTATACTTCCCCAGCAATATCTAGTATAGGAGGGAGCACTCAGTACTAGGACAGCATCAATCTAATTAGCGTGCTGTATCATCAATTTTGAGGGTGACATGACATCCAAGGGAGTGTGATGGTGTTAAAGCATCAATTTAATTGACCGCAGAATGGTACGTCAATCTGCTTTTTCCCGGATCCGATGCCCGCACTAAGAAGTCATAGGATCCAAATTCTCAAGAAAGCAACAGCAAAAAGTCGAGATCAGCCAAGACAAGGACCTCACACGGCAAAAGTCACTCAGAACCGCATCGCCCAGACCTGATACCTTAAGATCAGAGCAGAATCGCACACGCATGCTGCGTTGCATCCCCAGAACAGTACCATCCACCTGCTTCTTATCTTCTCCTCTTCACCGTATCCCGCAACAAAAAATAACTTTTTTTCGATAAAGGGTGCTTTATTATTTAAAAGGTTTAAGCATTACACCCGGCCTCTGCATACCAAGATGCACACAGCCAAAAGAAGTCCACACACAGAACAAAAACACAAAAAAGGGCGAAATACTAAGAAACATCTAGTGTTTGTATAACGCCTAAGACGTAGGAGGGCCAATCCTGAGAAAATGCTGCCACCCATATTTGGTAAAAGTATCTCTCGCCGTAGCCTCCAATAGTGTACAGACCTCCATAAAGAGGCCGCGATTCTCCATACGCTGTAGAGACGACCATAAACGAAGCGTCCCGGTATATCTGTAGATAACCTGCATAAGAGATGTACTTTTCTCGTTAAAAACCTTATCATTTCTACATAGCCAAAGCGACCAAATAACGGCGAGCGCTCCCACCCTGAGAAGAGTTCTAAACTTGTGTTCGATCCCATGTAACCAGTTGCCAAATATATTAGCAACACTACAAGGAGGGTACAAGCCAGAAGCTATTTGGATGACTGACCATATAGAACGAGCCAATTTACATTGAAAGAACAAATGTTTTATTGTCTCATCATGCTGACAAAAGACGCATTGCGTACTTCCATGCCAATTCCTCTTAACAAGGTTATCTTTAGTAAGAATGACTCCGCGACGAAGATACCATGCAAAGATTTTATTCTTAAGAGGTATTTTCATCTTCCAAATCTTCTTATTATTATCAACTGGCACATCGGATTGGAGCAAGGCTCTGTACATGGACTCCACTGAGAATTGATCATTCCCTTGTAGGTTCCAGCGAAATTCATCGAACCCTTGTGACAATTGCACGGTGGATAACCGCTGGAGCAGGGTGTTCCACGATTGGAGTCTAGGTCCAATTAAATCTCTTCTGAACGACATGTTTGGCGGAAATGATTCCATAACCGTGACGATAGTATCACCCTTGTGGCGCACAATATTATACAGAGCTGGGTATTGTTCCCCGAGTGAAGCATTGCCTAGCCACTTATCCTCCCAGAATCTAATTTCCGAGCCATCCTTAATCGAGAAAGAGCCATAGCGGAAGAAATATTTCTTCGTCGCCATTAAGCCAGCCCAAAAGTGAGAGTCCCCAGGCTTCCAGTACACCTGGGATATCGTCTTTGAACCCACATATTTTCTCTTTAGGAGAGTTTGCCATACACCATCTTCCGTCAATAACTTAAACAACCATTTGCCGAGGAGGGCCCTATTCTTAACCTCAAGGTCATGAATGCCCAACCCGCCTTGGTCTTTGGGACGGCAAAACACACTCCATTTAGCCATTCTATATTTCTTTCTCTCGCTATCTCCTTGCCAAAAGAATCTTGATCGAAAGTAATCAAATCTGTGTAAAATTCCTTTTGGCAATTGGAAGAAGGAAATCATATATAGTATCATATTGCTTAGTACTGAATTAATGAGTACCAATCTTCCACCCAGAGATAGCAATTTGCCTTTCCCACTGCTTAGTTTTTTTTGTAGTCTCTCCTCGACATGCAAGATACACAGCGAATAAGATGCCAAATTTTTTAGTAAATTTTCTAACAGTTTATTATTTTCCAGCAACCGTCCATGACAGAGGCTGTCTGTACCTTCAGTGTTTTACCTGAGCGATTCTGTCGTAACTAGTCATCACTGTGCAACACTCACATAGATGTTCACTTCGAGTTCCAGGCACAGCTTGAACAAGCACATCAGTGTTGCCACTCCACCTTCTGTACCCATGCATTGCATATCACATAGCATTCCCCCAAAAATAACCAGAGCAGCTTACATTCGACTGATCATTGCTTGAAGACTTTCCTGGACTGGCAAACTGTTTCTGAGCTGAATTTAATCAAATGATCGAGCAATTCTGATTAACTTGTTGCATCGTTCGCAGGTGTTCTTGATCTGCCTGGCAGCAGGGTGCAGCATCTGCTGGTTCAACACGGTCTGCTTCGTGGTCTGCATACGCAGCTTCTCCGCAGCCAACCGCCCCCTGGCCCTCTCCCTCTCCATAAGCTTCAACGGGCTCAGCGCTGCCTTCTACACCCTCTTCGCCAACGCTCTCTCCCCTTACTCACCATCCGTCTACCTCCTCCTCAATGCCATCCTCCCCCTCGCCGCCTCCATCATTGCGCTCCCAGCGATCCTCCTCTGCCACCCACATGATCACAGCAGCCTCCGCACTTTGCCAAAGCATGACAGGCGTGTCTTCCTCTGCTTCTACACCATCGCATTTGTCACCGGCATATATTTAGTGACCTTCGGTTCTGTCACTACAACCAGCTCTGCTGCAAGGGCCGTCCTCATGGGCGCCATGGCCCTCCTCACACTTCCTCTCATCATCCCTGCCGCCTCGAGTTGTTCTAGTGTGGGCACACATGATCCTGACACTGAATTGACATTCAACCACAACGATCCACAGAAGCCGCTCCTTCTCAACCATGATGACCACACGGAGACCAACGGCAGCATGGCACATAAAACAGTGGAATGGCAGCCCAAGGGCTGTTGCTGTGGGACGATACTGGACAAGGGCTGTGTGTTAGTTCTTGGTGAGGAGCATAGTGCAAAGAAGCTCATCCGGTGTGTCGATTTTTGGCTCTACTACACAGCGTACTTCTGTGGTGCCACTGTTGGGCTGGTGTACAGCAACAACTTGGGGCAGATTGCCCAATCGTTGCAATGTCAACCACAGCTCACCATGCTTCTTGCAGTTTACTCCTCTTGCTCCTTCTTCGGTCGCCTTCTCTCTGCACTCCCTGACTTCCTTCACAGGTATGTCTGTCTTAATCTAGATACGTACAGATAACTAAACTCTCATCAACTAGCATCCTAGCTAACTATACCATATATGCAATTTGCATGCAGGAGGGTGTCATTTGCTCGGACAGGGTGGCTTGCGGTGGCGTTGGTGCCCATGCCAGTGGCTTTCTTCTTAATGTGGAAATTGCACGATGTAAACACTCTGATAGCAGGAACGGCGTTAATTGGCCTAAGCTCAGGTTTCATCTTCGCTGCGGCAGTGTCCGTGACATCCGAGCTCTTTGGACCAAATAGCATCGGTGTGAACCACAACATCCTCATCACCAATATCCCTCTTGGCTCACTCCTCTACGGACAGATTGCCGCCCTGGTATATGATGCAAATGGACTAAAGAGTACGGTACTGGACAACCTCACTGGCACGGTTGATACCATGATAGTGTGCATGGGTGCGAAGTGCTACTCAAACACATTCTTTGTGTGGGGTTGCATCACAGTGCTGGGCTTGGCATCAAGCATAGCCCTATTCTTGAGAACAAGACAGGCTTACGCTACTGCTGCTGGTCAATCTAGTTGTAAGCACCATAGCCAAGTTTTGAGTTGAGAAAGGAACTCCTTGTTTGTTCCCCACTGTTCTGAAGTCATGGGTAAGCTTGTACAAGTTTTGGTTTGGTTCTGGGTGGACTGTGTTAGATGCAATACATGTAATTACTACCATCACGAGATTCAACAAGGGGCAGCAAATTATGAGATTAGCAGCCCTATGTAAAAGGTAGAACCATAGTTCTGTTTACAGGGCACTAATGTCAACTTGAAGGCGCAAGGCGGTTGCCTTAACTTACTACTGATGTTTCTTTCTGACCTCACATGAACTCATCAATTTGTCCATGTTTGCTACTTTGAGTATGGTGGAGTTGGAATTGGATCTGTCTAAAATGCCAGGCTTGAGAAATACTCCCTCCATTCACAAATATAGGATGTTTTGGATATTTAAATATGGACTGTATATGGACTGAAATGAGTGAACAAACACAGTAAAACGTGTCTATATACATCTGATTCAGAAAAAAGTACCTACATGACACAGCAAACAAGAGAAAAAAAAATCTAAACAATATGCCATGAGAAATAAACGTCTAGAATTTGAATTAATGGAGCAGCAGGGGTACCCCAGATATCTTTGATTACAAAATTTAGCATCGACTCACATAAAAGACGGTCCTCACTAAATGAATGGAAGACGTAGATTGGTTTGACCTCTGCAAGTCTAAAATTCTTTGTTACATTGCTAAACATAGCAGATACTGAGTTTGAATGACGTTCAAAATGGACACATATGCGTGGAAACAGTAAAAGAATCCTTGTTAGGAAGAAGACATATGGATATGATATGGGCATAACTCCTTTAGAACATTGCTGGAAGCTATCATCCAGCAACCCCAGAGAGACAGGTTCGAACAACTACAAAAACGCCACATCCCTATTACCTTGTTCAAGGGGTTACGATACAATGGAAGGGTGGAAATGCAATTACTTGAAAGGAGGACCGATGAGTCTATCATTGCCTATTTTTTCTCCTTCTCATCACGCTTGTGCCATGGATTCAAGGCTTCTCTCATAGCTTGTGCTTCTGGACTGCTTTCCCAAGCTCGTTTTTCTGACTCCAGTACCGTCACCTTCTCATCTGTAGTAAACAGAAAGCATCATTAACGCTGTTATGCACCAAACAAGCCAAAGAACTTGACAAAATGAATGACATGGTACAATGTAAATTTCTATGGGCACCTAAAAAGTAGAAGTTTGTGATGTTACTGATGGAAGATTTCCTCGCCAATCCAGTTTAATTACTTCAGGAGGGGATGCTGGGGTGCTTGGTTAATGATGTCTAGAGGCCCCATGGATTTCACAGCAACAACTGACAACTTAATGCTAGAGCTAGGTGTAGAATTTTGAGGAGACTTGACACGCGCAGAGATGAAATTTGTCTAGAGTGCATCTACCCTAACGATTTCAACCAGCTGATTACAAAGGGTTGGATGTTGAATGGAGGATGGAGGGACGCACAGAAGCCGGTGTGGATCATGAAAAGCTCCATGGCGGCGCCTATGGCCGCGCCGCCGACGGCGATCTTCAGGTACCACCCCGCGAACCTCATACGGCACTGCTGGCCGCAAGCTGCTGCATCCACAAAGTCCGATCAACCGTACATCAATTGAATGGAAGGGGAGAGATAGCCGGTACCTGTCAGGAGTCAGAGGAGCGGTCGCCGGAGCGAGGAGGCGGCGGCGGCGGAGGAGGATCGTGGCACGAGCTGACGGACCGAGGCGAGGGCGAAGAAGAGGTAGCGGGTTGTTACGGCCCAGTCCCCAAAGGCCCAACAAAAACAGAAAATCTGTCTCCCACTGAAGACTGAACCCACGTGCCGTACTCCCACCCACACGCTCGGCTCGCGCGCGCGCGCAGACTCATGGCGGCGACCTCGCCGGCGCCGACGAGGGCCGCCGCGGCGCTCACCCTGGCCCCGCATCGAAGGGTCCACCATGTCCACATGCCTTCCGGCCGCCCCTGCCCCTGCCGTTCTTCTGCCGCTCCTCGGCGGCGCACTCCGCGGTGCCGCGCGAAGCCGACAGTCAAGGGCGTGGTCGACGACGACGAGGACGCTTCCCGGGAGTCAGAGCCTGAAAGGAAGGAGGGGGAGGAAGATATGACTGCGATGGGTACGCTGCCGGGATGGCTCAGGCTTGACACCGTTGGGATGGATATCCTGAGCATCGCCGCGCCCGCTGTGCTCGCGCTCGCCGCTGACCCCATCGCTGCGCTCGTCGACACCGCCTTCGTCGGCCATATAGGTATATAGGTTCTTTCTTGACATCCTGCACACACACCGGATGCTTCTGGACTATGGTACAAGGCCGATACATCATCCATGTTAAGATGGTGTTTGAGTTTGAGCTAACCAACAATATTCACAACCAAATTATGCTACACTAGTACTTATTATTTTGCAGCATTGCAAAACTAAAGATTTTGTGCTAGAAATTCCGAGCCTTTGTCATTCATGTGTAGTCAATCTGCAGAAGTTTCTCGAATGTAGGATTACCATTTTTCAAATACTAGTAATCTGTATACTTAGCTATCTCATGAATAAGTAAATATGTTGGTATTCTAAATTTACATTTTGAAATGGAAAGTTTGTTGATTTCTTGATCAATTTTTACCTGTATCATCAGGTCCAACGGAACTTGCTGCCGTGGGTGTATCGATTTCGGTCTTCAATTTGGTGTCCAAGTTATTTAATGTTCCACTGCTTAACGTGACCACATCTTTTGTTGCTGAGCAGCAAGCAGTAGATGATAGTTATAGAGGAACAGGAGAAAGTAAGCTAATAAAGAGCTCAAAGATTTGTGGAAATTATTGCCATATTTTGTGTTACACTAATTATCTCACTTAAAAGATGAATTTCGAAGATCCCCAGATAATAAGTTCAGTGAAGAAAGGAAGTTTCTTCCGGCAGTCACGACATCTTTGGCTCTAGCTTCTGGTATTGGGTTGATGGAAACTTTGGCGCTTATTTTTGGATCTGGAACATTGATGGATGTCATTGGTATACCAGTGGTATGTACGACTACTTTATCGATAGTCACCAGGCTTAAACATTTATTATATCTACGTTTTGGCACTCAATTTGTTATGTGTTTAGCTGCTAATGTTCAGATAAATGTCTTTTTTGTGTTCCTGACAAATGAACCAAGTTAGGATGAGATTGAAGCAAATAAGCAATTATACTACCTGGAAAAGTGAGTTAGAATATGATCATATTTAGTTGTCAATCATGCTTTCTCATCTCTTGAATTAACTGTAGTCTAGAACTAAATCGCCCCTGGAACACAAGCTTTGATTCGGTTGTAGTCATTTCAAGCCAAGTATTTTTATATTGTATTGTTCTTATGTCAGATTACTCTTGAGTATAAGTTGTTCTTTGTTACATATAAACAGGATTCCCCGGTGCGTATACCAGCCGAGCAATTTCTTACTTTTAGGGCATATGGTGCTCCACCTATCATAGTAGCACTTGCAGCACAGGGTGCATTTCGTGGGTTGATGGATACAAAGACACCTTTGTACGCTATTGGTAAGATATTGCAATTTCTTGTCGCTAAATTGCATAAATTTAATCATGTGATTTTTTTTATCATTTTGAGTATCTGTAACAAGCAAGTCTCCGGAACACATATGCCCTATATGCACTTCAGATATTATTTTTACCCCGAAACAGTAGGAGAGGCTCCTGCTGCAATATGTACATGAGATATTATCTTCTTGATTTGGATGTTTTGCATGCAGGTGTTGGTAACCTAGTAAATGCAATACTTGATGCCATATTTGTCTTTCCGCTTGGTTTAGGAGTAAGAGGTGCTGCGTTGGCGACTGTAACATCTGAGTATGTTAACGCTATCATGAAAATCTAATGTACTTTCCTCATTGGTGTCCCTCAGCTCTTACTTTTAGTCATCTGCATCCATGGGGCTCTAATTATCTGCAAAAAATTTGCCTGCTGTCAGGTACGTGATAGCTTGCATCCTCCTTTGGAAGTTGAATAGTAAAGTAGTAATCTTCTCAGGAAAGATCATTGGTGGTGGAATGATACGCTACCTGAAATCAGGTTGGAAGATATTCATGTTGTTTATTTCCAAGGACTTAAGAACATTGGTTTTGCCTACCTTATCCATGGATGTGATGTGACCTCGGTAGTAGTTGTTCTCTTAAACACGTCAAATTGTGAACTGCTCTGCAGGCGGACTGCTGATCGGTAGGACCATAGCAGTGCTCCTCACCATGACACTGTCGACGTCTCTTGCTGCAAGGGAAGGGCCTGTTCCAATGGCTGGCCATCAGTTATGCTTGCAAGTATGGTTAACAATCTCTTTACTCAATGATGCATTAGCCCTTGCTGGACAGGTATGTACATTTATACAGCGGGGCATTTCATTTCTACCCTGTTAGCTTGGTATGTGTTCTTAAAGTATCCATAAAATGATGCAGGCTCTGCTTGCAACTGAATATACGAAAAGAAATTACAAGCAGGCGCGCATGGTTCTCTACAGAGTTCTGCAGGTTAGATATACATTTCATGGAAAAAGAAGTTCATAAATGCTGCTGAGGTTCTCTTTTTCCCTTACCTCCAGGTGTAAAATGTTTGTTCACATATTCTGTTACGCAGATTGGAGGGGCGACTGGTACGGCACTCGCTATAATCTTGTTTTTTGGGTTTGGGTCTTTCTCCTCGCTGTTCACAGACGATCCAGCAGTTCTGGGTATTGCCAAATCTGGTGTCTGGGTAATGAGATATTTAGGACTGTTGAAATAAACACCTAATGTGACAAGTGAAGTTTTGATGCCATGGTACTCACTGCTCCAATATTAAATCTTGCAGTTCGTCGCCATCTCCCAGCCAATAAATGCTGTTGCTTTTGTGGTCGATGGGCTCTACTATGGTGTATCTGACTTTGCATATGCTGCCTACTCCATGGTCTGAACTGGATCTCTGTTTGCACTCTATTTTCCGTCTTGCTGTCAATACTAAATGAGCTGAAAAATAACTAACAATATTTAAGTATCTGGTTTGCTCAGTTCTTTGCAGGAGCCATATCGTCGGCTTTCCTTCTTGTTGCCGCTCCTGAATTTGGTCTTGGTGGCGTCTGGGCCGGTCTCATTCTTTTTATGAGTTTGCGAGCAGTTGCTGGGTTGTGGAGGTAGTGTAGACTATATAGGTTTCCATTGCCCTTCTCATGGAAGTTGGAATGGAAACGACCTTGATGACTTCAGGTAATTTTCTGATATGCAGGTTAGGGAGCAAAGGTGGACCCTGGAACTCGATCTTGTCAGACACTGACTTAAGCGACAAATTGTGATCCCTAGATAATTTGATGAGAAGATGAAAAGATAGAAAAATAAGACATATCTTGGTTTTCTTGTACAGTTACTTGGCAAATACATGTACAGATCCAGTGGAAGTTGCAAACTTCATTTACTGCCAAGGCGTTGTCACTAGAGTTGTAGCCGTAGAAGCACCTCTTACTTTGTTGTGGCATTTGGTGCAAATGCTACAGGTAGTTGGTTTGGCTGTTTTGTACACCTTCAGATATACCATAGATAATTATGAATCCTGTGAAATGTAGTTCTTACATAGATGATGTGTAGCCGTAGAAGCATTCTCCACTTGGTTGTAGCCATTATTGCAAGTGCTACAAAATGTTGGTTTTAGCTGTTTTGTACACCATGTGCAAGAAAAATATAGTTTGCTAGCCCAACATGTGCATGGAGTATTGCAACTTCTACTGTAAATGAGCTATGCTGTGCGCGCTTTTATGCTCATTTTGGCTTTCTCTTTGTGTAAATAGGTTGTTTCTTACTTCATGTATTAGTTCAAAGCTTTAGCCTTTTGGGGGGAAATGTTTCCTTTATTCCTCTAAAGAAACCACCTGGTGATGATGGTCCTCTCACCTTGGATCATATCAATCTGCTACCAGTGGCTGGGACTGAGAATCGATTGCTCACCACCCGCTTAAATTTATTTCTGTAAAAACACCTTCATCTTCCTTGAATTGTCTAATACACCGAGCATCATCTCAAATCAATTCAAATAATTGGTCTTGTAAACATGTATTCTTTCCTGTCCATGAAATGTATTGCTTTGGACTTTAAAAAAATAGAATTGTTGTTGTTTTAAAATATTTAGATCGGAAACTTGAAACTTATATGTGTTAAAATGTGGCAGAAAAGTAATCCAGAAAAATACTACAGTTTTGCTTCGTTTTATGCATATACTATAAAGGAAAATACTCTCATCCGATTCGTTTTCTTAGGCCCATCTCAAAAAAAATTCTTAGGCCCATCTCAAAAAAATTGCATACGTATGTAGAATTTTTCATAATCCACAAAAAAAAGTGAGTTTTTCATAAATCCTGAACCAACAGATGCAGTTGTTAGGACGACATGCTAGCTGACTGAGCTGACAAGTCAGATGCATGCTCATTAGGGGCATATCAAATGATGCCGTTGTTTAGTTTTTACATCAGATTCAGCCAAATTCTATGAATTATGCTAGTATTTAATGAACAACTATCGCTAGATGCACCACACTAATCTGAGGGCCTCTTTGATTTAAAGGATACACATATGAATTTTACAGGATTGGAATCCTCGGGATTTTTATCTACGTTGGTCGTTTCATTTGTAGGATGGATCATATATGATTTATTTCCAGGAATCATTTGTATATATTCCATAGAATTTTATCATCCACTCAAAACTCTGGGGAAGAATCCATTATTTTTCGTGTGATGCAGTCAAGCAAACCAAAATCATTTAGGATTAAAAAAGTCATGCCATTCGTAGTCCTATTGTGCTTCCTGTTCATGCGTTCCTTAAATCATGTGAATCTTTTTTTAGTGTTTTTTTAGCAGGAAATCATGTGAATCAAAGAAACCCTTGCAATCATATGAGATATAAACCCAACGAACATAAGTCTAAGTTGGCCCTCTACTTAGTTTTTTTGTCCGAACGAATGGGTTTGCCTTGTCAATTTTAGCACAAATGGTCATACACAAGGGGTAAAATGTGAATTCACAAATAAAATAAGAGGGAAAACATGGCAATCTTTTTAAAATAGTATAAAGCGCTGGCACGAGATTTTCGCTATGAGGTAAAAAGATGGATTTTACTCTTACAGTAATTTTGAATATTATACACATACTATAAAAACAACACGATGGTTTTAGCCAAATATTGAAGACAGTGTGACATGTTAAAAGCATCACTCTTTTAACCAGGGAGCAGTGTGGTTTCTTACTTTGTCTGTAGCGACACACGTGTACTATGATTGCTCTTTGTAGTTTGACATTAGGACATTTTTCTCTTTTTGGGAAAAGATCCTTAGGACTTAGTTTTACCCAAAAAGGCTTTCTCCCCGCCTTATATATAAAGCACCGACCAATCACAACTCAGTTACAAACGCACGCCAGCACAACACAAGCACACACTCAAGGCAGGATACAAGGCGCTGAGCGCAGCAACACTACCCCTAGTACTACAAGAGCAACCGGAGTCCTCAACCGTGAGCATGCCACCACCAAGAGATGAAGCCGCCTATGACGAACCATGTGCTTCAAGGCGGCGCCCTCAGGAAGGTTACGACATCAGAGCGCCACCACCGCCCGACCCACCTCGAGCGGGACTTTGACAGACTTGCCCGATGATCGGCGAGCGATAAAAAATAAATGGATCTTTAAGAAGAAGACAGACGTGGATGATAATGTTACCATCTATAAAGCTCGACTTGTCGCTAAGGGTTATCGGCAAGTTCAAGGGGTTGACTACGATGAGACTTTCTCTCCCGTAGCGAAGCTGAAGTCCGTCCGAATCATGTTAGCAATTGCCGCATACTATGATTTTGAGATATGGCAAATGGACGTCAAAACGGCATTCCTTAACGGCTATCTTAAGGAAGAACTGTATATGATGCAGCCAGAAGGTTTTGTCGATCCTCAGAATGCTAACAAGGTATGTAAGCTCCAGCGATCCATTTATGGGCTGGTGCAAGCATCTCGGAGTTGGAACATTCGCTTTGATGAGATGATCAAAGCGTTTGGGTTTATGCAGACTTATGGAGAAGCCTGCGTTTACAAGAAAGTGAGTGGGAATTCTGTAGCATTTCTCATATTATATGTAGATGACATACTTTTGATGGGAAATGATATAGAACTTTTGAACAGCATTAAGGCCTACTTGAATAAGTGTTTTTCAATGAAGGACCTTGGAGAAGCTGCTTACATACTAGGCATCAAGATCTATAGGGATAGATCAAGACGCCTCATAGGTCTTTCACAGAGCACATACCTTGATAAGATATTGAAGAAGTTCAATATGGATCAGTGCAAGAAAGGGTTCTTGCCTGTATTGCAAGGTGTGAGATTGAGCTCGGCTCAATGCCCGACCACGGCAGAAGATATAGAAGAGATGAGCGTCATCCCCTATGCCTCAGCCATAGGGTCTATTATGTATGTCATGCTGTGTATCAGACCTGATGTAAGCCTTGTCGTAAGTTTGGTAGGAAAGTACCAAAGTAATCCCGGCAAGGAACACTGGACAGCGGTTAAGAATATCCTGAAGCACCTGAAGAGGACTAAGGATATGTTTCTCGTTTTTGGAGGTGACGAAGAGCTCGTCGTAAAGGGTTACGTCGACGCTAGCTTCGACACAATCTGGATGACTCGAAGTCACAAACCAGATACGTGTATATTTTGAATGGTGGGGCAGTAAGCTGGTGCAGTTGCAAGCAAAGCATCGTGGCGGGATCTACATGTGAAGCATAGTACATGGCAGCCTCGGAGGCAGCGCATGAAGCAATCTGGGTGAAGGAGTTCATCACCGACCTAGGAGTCATACCCAATGTGTCGGGGCCGATCGCACTCTTCTGTGACAACACTGGAGCTATTGCACTTGCCAAGGAGCCCAGGTTTCACAAGAAGACCAGGCACATCGAGCGTCGCTTCAACTCCATTCGTGAAAATGTTCAAGATGTAGACATAGATATTTGTAAAGTACATACGGACCTGATGTAGCAGATCCGTTGACTAAACCTCTCCCTAGAGTAAAACATGATCAACACCGGAACTCTATGGATGTTCGATTCATCACAATGTAACTAGACTATTGACTCTAGTGCAAGTGGGAGACTGTTGGAAATATGCCCTAGAGGCAATAATAAAATGGTTATTATTATATTTCTTTATTCATGATAATTGTCTGTTATTCATGCTATAATTGTGTTATCCGGAAATCGTAATACACGTGTGAATACATAGACCACAACATGTCCCTAGTGAGCCTCTAGTTGACTAGCTCGTTGATCAACAGATAGTCGTGGTTTCCTGACTATGGACATTGGATGTCACTGATAACGGGATCACATCATTAGGAGAATGATGTGATGGACAAGACCCAATCCTAAGCGTAGCGCAAAGATCGTGTAGTTCATTTTGCTAGAGCTTTTCCAAATGTCAAGTATCATTTCCTTAGACCATGAGATTGTGCAACTCCCGGATACCGTAGGAGTGCTTTGGATGTGGCAAATGTCACAAGTAACTGGGTGACTATAAAGGTGCACTACGGGTATCTTCGAAAGTGTCTGTTGGGTTGGTACGAATCGAGACTGGGATTTGTCACTCCGTATGACGGAGAGGTATCTCTGGGCCCACTCGGTAATGATCATCATAATGAGCTCAATGTGACCAAGTGTTTGGTCACGGGATCATGCATTACGGTACGAGTAAAGTGACTTGCCGGTAACGAGATTAAACGAGGTATTGTGATACCGACGATCGGGTCTCGGGCAAGTAACATACCGATTGACAAAGGGAAATGTATACGGGATTGATTGAATCCTCGACATCGTGGTTCATCCAATGAGATCATCGAGGAGCATGTGGGAGCCAACATGGGTATCCAGATCCTGCTGTTGGTTATTGACTGGAGAGGCGTCTCGGTCATGTCTGCATGTCTCCCGAACCCGTAGGGTCTACACACTTAAGGTTCGGTGAAGCTAGGGTTGTAGAAATATGAGTATGCAGTAACCCAAAGGTTGTTTGGAGTCCCGGATGAGATCCCGGATGTCATGAGGAGTTCCGGAATGGTCCGTAGGTAAAGAATTATATATAGGAAGTCAAGTTTCGGCCATCGGGAAAGTTTCGGGGGTTACCGGTATTGTACCGGGACCACTGGAAGGGTCCCGGGGGGTCCACCGGGTGGGGCCACCTATCCCGAAGGGCCCCATGGGCTGAAGTGGGAGGGGAACCAGCGCCTGGTGGGCTGGTGCGCCCCCCCTTGGGCCCCCTGCGCCTAGGGTTGGAAA